GTTATGTGTTACTTTAAAAGGTTTAAAGATAAGATTAAGAATGAATACATAAATGTAAAAAGTAAATTTACAAAACAATGATACTTAATTTAAACTTTAAATGGTATCTTTAGACCTTAGAAAGTAACACATAACTTTTAAAACATCCCCCCTTCCGACCATTCAATTAAAACGTGCAAGTCCGCCAGGTACATGTTAAGTTTATCAATGTCTTAATTTGAGCGAAATAAATATTCTTGTCCTTTTTTAAATGCCTGTTTTTCAGATACCTAGGTCGAATTTTCTCTAACTTGGTGTAATGTAATAACCCTTGGACTTCCGATCAAGTAACTGTCATTCATGCTTTTGAAACACATGAGCAAAAGTCGTTATGTAGTGTATATTTGCACCCTCCCTTTTCTTTATTTTGAAAATTTCCATATAAGCATTGAAAATGCGCGCTTTCAGTTACTTTGAGGAATACAGGCATATATTGTGGATTGGAAGAGAAGGAAGGATATTTTTCCGGACTTTTAGTACAAGACTTATAATTAACAGATACAAAAGCTTGAAAACCCAAAATATTGTTAATAATTTTATTAAAAATGTTAATTTTTGATTTCTGTTCAGGGAGCTAAAAATCAACTTCCGGTAATTTAATGAAAATCATTCAACTGTTAAATATAATAAATGTAATGATTATCGCTTTTTGTGTTGCGTTTCACAATATATATATATACATACATGTATATATAACATCTTGGGGCAGTTGATCGTATAAATAATACTGAGAGAGGATATCCCTAGAATATATAACTAAGATTCTTATAAGTAATGTATCGCAGTGAATCATTATTTGATATGATCCGAAAGTTATTATAAAGTAATACTGAAAATTTTGTGGAATAAATATATCGTGATTAAAACTGATTGTGAGTTACTGTTGATAAATATGAAATGAATTGTGGTATAAATTATCGCACGTGATTATAACTGATTGAGGGTCAATGTTTACATATTATTAAGAATTTTTGGATAAATAAGTACGTAAATTGTTTATTATAGCGGCATGTGTTATCATACAATACAATCATATCAAAAATATTTAATACAAATATTCAAACACTTGACCCATCGGACCTATATGTCACATTAAACAAAAAATAAAGGAAACATACGAGGGTTGTCCGGAAAGTTCGTGGACAAGCTAAAATTAAATAAAAGTAATGTCATTGATATTTATTATTAGCCTATTTCTAATCCTTTACTAAATGTGAACTGAAAAATGCAGAATTTAATTCAATTTCAAATGTTTAATTACAATTATGGCTTCAAAATTAGACTTTGCAATGGAGACCCGGAGCACCGCAAAATATTAATTAAAAAATTATTCATCACTTTATAAATTTAATTTGTGTTTTATAAAATTCTGCAAAAATCTGGAAGAATTTTATATCTTGAGGTTGACAGAAGTTATCAAGTTAAACCTGCAAAATTTGAAAGTTCAAAGTTTCAAAAAAGCCGAGCAATCAAAGTTAGAAAATATTAAGACAGGATCGGAATGTTTTCGCAATAGGTGGAGCAGTGAGCAGCGATAGAATGTTGCGTAGACATCCGGAAAACACCTTTCGAGACCAAAACATTCTGAAAACAATCGAAAAAACATAGTTAAATAAGCCGTTCATTAGTATTTAAGTTGCATATAATGTTTTCGGACGGAGGGAACAGTTAACAGGAAGACATGCATGAAGGAAAACCATCATTCCGAAATTGAACTTCGTTGACTTTGCCGTATTTCCTTAAAAATCGTCTTTACACGGACAGAGGTTGGACGATTGCAGAATATGAGGCAGGCATTGTTAAATATTATTTTACGTATGAAACCTGAACATTTTGTGCACATTTATATGACCGTTTAAAGCGACTTAAGAAATGCATTGAGTTGCACGGTGACTACATCTATGTTGCGAAAAGTTACATGTGATCGTTCTTAACTTTTGACGTCGGGTAACGTAAAAAATTTCCGTTTCAGTGCTCCGGGTATGAATGAGTGTCTTTTTTGTATCTGATAAAAGTATAACTATTTGTGCTTTGTTTTTGTTAAAAACTTGCATATTTAGTAAATGAAATATGAATTTAATGAAAAAAATAGTTTGATATATTTTGTCAATGTTTGTCAATAATTATTAATGTTGTCCACGAACTTAACGGACAACCCTCGTATATACATGTATACCGCCACACAAACATTTTGTGCATAGCGGTTTCTGTACAACAAAGCTTGCATTTGCATGTATGATTAATATAAATATTTTGAGGTGTGCGTAGGAAAATGCGTTAAAAGGAAAATAAAAGTATCTAGATCCAACATAGAAAAATTGAGTTGCTATAAACGCTATATAATAAATCTGATCTGTATTTCGAGTATTCTGTACAATTAATAAAAAGTGGCACTCGATCTCTACTTAATCTTGAGAACAAAAAAAACATAAATATATTACTGATCGTTGGTCACTGTATGTATGTATATATTAAACATGTTAAAAAAAATGGGGGAGGGGGTAATGTATCATTATACCAGTTTGTGGGTCACTGTATATATGTATATAACGGATTGTGCAATAAATACATTGCACTTGATTAAAACTTATTGTGGGTCCCTGTATATACATTGTATATTAATAATGAATTGCTGGATCGATATATTGCAGTTAGTTAAAACTGTGGGTCACTGTTTATATGTATATAATGAATTGTGGGACGAATATACCGCATGTGATTATACATGATTGTGGGACACTCTATGTATAATAAATGTAGTGACCATCGCTGTTTGTGGGTCACTATATAAATATAACATTGTTGGGCAGTTGATTGTATGAATTACATTGCGAGAGAGAATATCCAAAGAATATCTTGTTAAGATTCTTATAAATAAATCATTATTTAATATGAAAATTTTATATTGAAATCAGCGAAACTGTTCCTAATGTATTATTCTACTTTGTACATTAGTAAATATACATACATGAATATATTTATTGATATTTTATCAAACATTAATTCTAATGTCTTTTCATTGTTAATTACAGCAAATAATATAATTATATAGCATAAAATAATATTGCGGGTCATAGAATTAATATATGAAGAGCATTGTGCGATGTATATAGTTTATCCCACAATGCTCTATATATATGAATGTTTTGACCCACAATTATATACAATATTTATAATATAAACTCAAAAATTATATTATATATTATATAAGGACCATATATAACGCCTAAATCATGAATATGGCATAGCTATGCAATGTAGAAATGCGAGATCCCACAAACCAGCTTAGAATATATGAACAAAAATCTTTAATTTAGTAAATGTATTTGAACATTTAACTTTTTATTGGCGTTGATGATGAACATTGCTGGCTGATGTAAAAAATCAAGTATGAGATATATGGAGATAAAGAACAAAATTTAGGCTCAATAATCTTTAAAACAAAATTGGAGCACAGCAAAAACGACGAACCTCTAAGTGAAGCCATGGAGAAGTGAAGATCCTTTGCCGACCGATCACATCCGCTGTGTGCTCCTTGTCATGATCGGAAAATCACGAGAAAATCCCTCGATAATTTAGTATTCATATATATTTGCCTGGGGATCCGGGTTAGAATAGGTCCTCAGTACCCTCCTGCTTCTTGTAAAAGGCGACTAAATGGGGCGGTCCTTCGGATGAGACCGTATAAACTGAGGCCCCGTATCATATAGCAGGTGTAGCACACTAAAGATTCCTCCCTGCTCAAAGGCCGTAAGTGCCGAGCAAAGGCCTAAATTTGCAGCCCTTCACCGGCAATGTTGACGTCTCTATATCAGTGAAATATTCTGGAGAGGGACGTTTAACAGTATACAATCAATCATAATAGCCTTACAATTAGTGTGAAAAATCAGTTAGCATTCGACTTAATCACAAACTGTATTAGTTATAAGCTTATTATATTGACTACAGACTGTTGATATTCTAGTTTCAGTATTACTTATTGGTCAATACATATATTGTTGTTTTTTTTTTTTAAATTCATACAGAACCATAAATTTGTGTTTCGTACCAACTGAGAGATTTATAAGCTCCTAATGAATTTTAGTAAGGTAAGTTGGTATAAACTGATTTCAAAGAAAGTGTCTACCAATTACGGTGACAGTTTGAAAATATCTAAATCGAAATTTTAAGATTTACAGTATTTAATAAGATGTAAAAATGGTTAGATACAGAACAGTGAATGGTCCCTCCCCCCAAAATATATACAATACAAATACATATATGTAAAAAAAAGACATAAAACACAACTACTTGTGAAATACAAGAGTAGGGATCAGATGCAGAGGAGAAAATAAAACATCCCTTGTCAATCATGTCATACAAACGAATGCTGAGCACATTTAACCTGATGTTCAATGTTGTAAACATACATGCCGTAGCGTCTTCTTCCAATTGCCATGGTGTTAAACTGTTGAAAGGATGTTCTTGTTTTAAAAAATCTTGTGGTTAGGATAATTTAAATTTTAACATTTTATGTTCATGTATACAGTGTATGAACCTTTTCACCAATTAAATGAATTGAACGTTTTCACTCTTAAAAGACCTCTTGGAATGTTGAGATTTTATCGTAGATGTAATTTATGTAAATCTAATTTTTATTTTAATGTTTTTAAGGAAACTGTCACGATATTTCCATCCTTCGAATTAATTTCCCTGAAGAATCGTTCATTAGTTTCAGGGTGTTTTCTTCTTTCCTTCCTCTCAATTTGAAACAGCATCAAGATCTATATATATATATATATATATATATATATATATATATATATATATATATATATATATATATATATATATATATATATATATATATATATATATATATATATATATATATATATATATATATATATATATATATATATATATATATATATATATATATATATACTACAAAATGTTTGTTATCCCAAACGCATGTCTAAATCACAAAATGGATTGCCGCATAATTTTGATGTTCATTTTCTTCTTCAGAGTATTCCATGAACTGCCGGCCGTAAACCCTGGAATTTGTTTTAATAATTCATCTTGGTGAGCAGTAAATAATATCAAAGTACTCCATTTATTAATTATTTTTTTTAATTCATACTAGTTGTAAAATTAATAAAAATTTTCTTTAGTACGTAACGCATAGGTTTATTAAAAGTCTATATATATAAATGAATAGTTATCTTGTTTTTCGTAAAACAGAAACATCATCACTTGCTGTCCAAATTACTATAAAAATGGCAGCCTCTGTACAGGTGAGATACATTTTATTCGAGTAAAAAATTCTCTTCGAATTCTTGGCAAATTTTTTTTTGTATTTTATAAAATTTTGTTTCACAAAAAGGGTGTCCCCCAGGAACTTTTGGTTCAAACTGTACCCAAAAATGTCCATATGGTTTTTATGGGTATGCTGTCCAGGTAATGTATCGATTTATTTTTTTTTCAATGCACTATTATGTTCATTTGTCTTGTAAAGGAAAAATAAATTAGGATCAATTATACATTTTAAGCTGTAAATGAAGTAAAAAAAAACTAAAACAAATTAATTTCCCAAAAGTTTTCTTTAAAACCGTGCTTAATTAAAATATATACATGTATATAGGTGAAATAATGGAAAAACAATATGCAGTCAACATATACATGTTTATGGTTTTTTGAATTCACTTGATTTCCTTTTAAAAGTGATAACTAATTCATAAATGTAATTAATACACAAACATCATAAGTAGTTAAAAAGTATGAGAATAGCTTTAGGGATTTTTTTGTATTTTGCTTAATTTCAAGATAAATATTGAGACATATTTTTGAAGGATAGCTTACAAGGAAATTTTTGAGTGATTAGCTATATTTTCAAAGTGAATTTTATGTACGTCGTTCTTTTTTAAATAACAAGTTGCTTCACGCAAATCTTTTGCTCCATTCTTTCATCTTTGATTCTGAGTGGATTTTATTCCAACATTAAAGAGGAGTTTTGATGGAAAGGAATCCAGATGTCATGGATATTTTTTTTATTTATCAAGTTATAATGCAAAATTCAGACTACTTCATTTTATTGAAGGAAAATATAAATATCTCTTCATATTCTAATACAGAGGAAGTTAGCTCAATGTCAGAGAAAATCTACCTGTCATCCATTAGTGTTCTTTCTCTTGTGGTTTGTTTGCTTGTTGCATACATTATAAGGTTGAAATGGTACGTTACACAATATTTATTCCTATTTCAATTTAATGCGTTTCATTTTAAGAGTTATCATGCATAAAAAGAAAAAGAAGCCTATCAAAGTGATTTGACATACGTGTAAAAATTAGCACATCTTTTTTTAATGTGCAGTCAAATCAAACATTTTCAACTTGCTGGCGGAAGTGACGCACCTGTTGCGGTACAGTATGATTACGATTCTTTACAACGACTTAAAGATGGACAACCTCTTGCTGCACAAAATCTAGACAAGCATGATAATGATACTGAACTCAATTCATACATGGACATTTCAGATCCAGCTATTAGTAACTGAAAAAAATTCTAAGAAATAAGCTTATCTATTTACTTACATGACTGTATTATTACCGTAAAACTTTTATGGACTATTCATATCAGAAAGAATAGATAAGAATATATAACCTACTATCTTTCATAATTTTAAAGTAATAACTACGTATAACTACGTATACTACAGACATACTTATGAGACCTTATTCATGTAATTAAATACTTTATGAAGGAACTATCGGTTATGTTTTGTACTTACAATGATAAAATGCATCTTCCTTGAAATCTTGCTTTGGTATTATTTAACTCATAATAAAGATTCCATTTGGGGAAAAATGAAAAAAAAAATTACAGTTTTTTTTTTATCTTAAAAGATAATGCAACCTTTATGTAATTTTTATCTAAATATTTTCAAATTGAAGTTATAAATAAATATACGAGGGGTTTCCTAGAAAAAAGAGCTAGTTTTTTTTGATAATTTTTTTTCATAAGTTTTGAACTGGCATGCATTCACAGTTAACACTTTGTAAATACAACGTATTTGAACAAATCATAATTTTAAGTTCCTCTTGGTAAAAATTATCTTACGGAATAAGTTATTGGTGCAACACAGATGAAACGTGATTTGTGGCATTCATGAAATTGTCCAGTATTATGCCGCTCTTTAGTTTTGACACTTCTAAGTTCATGAACTTCTTAGAAATCTCTACGTATAATGAGAAGCTTTCGAATTGCTATATTGTTATTTTCCTCTATTTCCTGCAGATAACTGGTCAAGTCACCCTTTAACTTTTTTGCTCCAATTTTACCAAAACCAATGTTCAAGACATGTTTATGTTTTTGAATTGTGTCCTTTTTTTATTTCCTTAATGTTTGATCAGGTGTAATATCCATCTCTATACAGTAATAAATGTTGCATAGAAATAACGTCTGACGATCAATTTTCACGAATTGGTACTCCGAATAAGAAGATTGATATCGATGTAAATTTTGTAAATGTTATCTTTGTACGAACTGCTGATCGTTAAAGCACCTTTTGCCAATACCATTTCTCAATATGGAAAAAAATATATTGTGTTTTCACCATATAATTCATCACCTTCGATATTACAAATCCATAACTGATAGTCCAAATAGAATGCAAGTGAATGAATATATAATTTTATCATATGGTCTACAGATATTATCTATACAAATGTAAACTGTTTGAAATATTACGGTGGAGAACCTACAAGTTCTCTTCTCCGTGTACTCTAGTCCGACAATTCTGCCGTTTTCCAGGCTTTTTAACGATTTTGATTTTTATGTGCCAAGAAAATCTGGTATTTATATAAATTCGTGATAAAAAAAGCCTGGAAAACAAATGTCAGACATTTCGGACAACGTGGACTTGTGAATCTACACGCTGTGTAAAGTTTGTAGAATTACGCGGTCTGAATATTACACTGAATAAGGGGATTTTTCTAGTTAAACGCACACATAGACATACACAGTCACCTGCTTAACATTCATCTCTACATATTTATTACAAGAAAACATTGATGTTTTCATCAATTGTCGCCCGGGAAATATATAAAGTAAACAATGGGAATGAATCTTGATCATCAAACCGCTTTGATATACAGTATGTGAAAAGGCATGCCTCTAATTGATTTAGACGATAGTCACGAATAATTTGAAAACTTGTAGTCGGATAAAAATCAAACAAAAACAATACCATTTTAAACTTGATCAATTCTTCAAGTAAATGTTGGCTGCATAAAATATAAATTAAAGTTAGTCACATGCATCACCTATATTCAAAAATGTATTTAATTTACAATTTTAGAATATAAAACAGAAACTTTGCATAGTACGTTTTTAAGCGAGAAGAAAAATTTGATACTCTAATTAAAGGGACCTGTCGTTTTTTTGATAGTTAATGATAAGCAACTTTACATATTAAATATGAAAAACATGTATATTTTTACAGATTAACTTTATGGAAGTAAATATATTATGTATCTCGTAATTTATAAAGGGAAAGAACATTCTGATTAACAAACTTTTCAATGTTTAGAAAACCATTAATTCTGAATAACTACTCCCACCCCAATCCCCATACACCAACACTTAAACTTATATGTATAGAGCAGCCCGGTCCTCCGGGCTGCAATAATCGAGTCCGTATTCACCGGCATTGTGACGTCACAATCAACACCTCATAAACATTGTAAAGAATGGTTGCATTTGGCAGGAAAAAGCCACGTAACTGAGTTGAAAATATACTATGTAAATCTATCGCAGGACTTTTTTTTAACATTTCGAGTGATTGATGATTGTTTATTGTTTAACGACCATCTCGAGAATTTTTCACTCATTTGGAGACGTCACTGAAGGGCTTCAAATTTTGACCTTTACTCGGCACTCAGGACAATTGAGCAGTGGGGGATCTTTATCGTGCCAACACCTGCCGCTGACATGGGGCATCGGTTTTTAAGGTCTCATCGAAGGACCCGCAACTATCACTTCAAAGTGCCGAGTGCATGGCAAAGGAACAGTTGCTTCCCATTTTATCTACTAGGTCAGTTGCGGCCGAGATACGAACTCGCGACCTCCCGGTCATGGAGCGAGCGCTCTTCTGTTTGAGCTACCGTGAACGGTAAAACATTTCGATGTGCAACTCAAAGTTGTAAGTTGAAATCTGGATTTTTATTTTTTTTTCTGCGACAGAAGCTGTTTAATGAAAGGTGCTATCGTCATGCAGCTTTCAATGCTATTTGTCGAATCCTGATAACTAGTATGGGAAAAAAACAATTATGGACTCTTTCGATGGTAGATATGATTAAATTCATACTCTTAATGAATAGTAAAAGTATGTTTCTGTAATGTATTGTTGCAATTATTTATATGAAATATACATTTAAACACTGATATATCATAGTTTATGTAAAAGGTAAAACGAGGTTTAGTCCAAATGTAATATCACAACACATATTAAGTATGAAATGGTTTAATCTTTTCAACAAAATGGTAAAAAATTTCGATGTTGGTAAGTTACTTTAAAGATTATGTTTTGTTTAAAAAATTAATATTTATGCATGAAATATAGGAATTGCGACACTACTTTGGGACAATATTCGTATGTTATTTGTGGATTTGAATATGAATGTCAAAGATATATTTGCTTTTAACACTGTTACCTGATAAAATTGCTTAATTTATATTAAAAAAATGCAAATTAGCCCACTCACATTCATTCATTCTTGATTACTAACCGTGGTTGGTTACATGTACATACAGTACTTATTTTAAAGACATCACATAATGTGCAAGTTATACCTTTCGAATGAAAAAAAACTGTATACATGTATTAGAAATTTTCTTGTTTTTTGTAAACGATTAATTTTTTCATTCAATTCACTTTTTCAACAGACAACTGGATGATTGTTACGTATTGTCACACAAATGCAAAGTGTATGTCTCTTAAGAAACTTCGATGAGTTACTTCATGGTTATAAACAGCTAAAACTATTAATTATATTTATAAGACAGATGAAGTCTTTTTGCTTAATGGGTTTATGATGTTATCATAGACCCCCTGCATGTTTTAAGGAAATAAAGATATTAATTGCTGAGGTTTGAATAGTCTCAAACAGTTTAAATATTCTTCACAATACGAGGAATAAAACATTAACTCATCAGACCATTTAATTTCATGTATTGTTTTCGACTTAAGATTTTAAAAAAGTACTTTCCTTTATTATACACATGTAATATTCTTTCGCTTCATATAGACTAAATCAGCTTTATCTAACAGAACATAAAGGAGGCACATCAACTTGAGAGAGTGCGCCAGTGCAATCTTTTTAATGCATTTTTATACATAAATGCATATAATTTTAGTAGTCCCGTCGTTTTGACTTTTCTTTTAAGAGAC